TATCCCACTCCCTATCCAGACTCTATCAGCTACAACAGTATACTCTGAGCTCTTTTTGATCATACACCCCTGCCACAAGAAAATGTACCCCCAAATGTGTATATTCGCATATCATACATATGAATTCGTGTTCTAATTTATTACACAACATACACAAAATTGACATTTAAAGGATGACATAAAAAGCAAATAAAAATTCCAGTTTCCTCTCTGCTCCTAATGTTTTGCATACCCACATTCCTCTCTGAAGACCACTGGCCTAAAGGGAAATGTCCAAGTTCCTGTGCATGGCATTCAAGGCTGGGTACCAGTTGTTTCTTGCCTCTCTGTCCAATTTCAACCCTCATCACTTCACCCCACACACCAATGCTTCAGCCACGGCAAATTACTTGTGGCTCCTTTAATAAATAAATTAAATTTTAACTTGTATTCTTGAAATGAACATATCTACATCTTTACAATTGTTCTTTCCTCTTCCTGGAATGTCTTTACTATCCTTTCCAGCCCAGTGAGTACTTGTCATTCAGATCAAGTGACATGTCCTCTCTCTGGTTGGTTATTCCCACCTTAGTGTGCTTATTTCTATTATTACTATATTGTATTCAAATTATATATTTGCCTTTCTAACCTATAAGGTTTCCACAATCCTTTAGTTCCTTGAAGACAGAAGGCAGTAATATCAACTAACCTGAGTCACTTAAATATTGTTTAATGGCAGCAGTTTTGTCTCACATGTTAAGCCAACTCTTGAAGTGAACCAACAAACTACTAAGTTTACCAACTAGTATCATCACCCCTATTTGTAACATGCTAAGGGCTGCCAAGTCAGTAATATGCATAAGCCACATCCATGAGTCATCCAAACAAGTGAGACTCCCCACAGCCTCAGAATTCTCCAAGTCAGATGACCTCTTTGACTTGGTAATTTCTATTTTTACTCAAATTTAGCCATCATCATCACTGGGAATTGCTTCCGTTTTAAGATTTAAAACTGAAGTCCCTTCTTAAACCACAAGATCCAACTCAGCCACTAAAAGTGTTGTTCCCCTTTAAGGGGTACCTCACCTGTACCACCCAGCCTGCTTATTCTGCTGGTCTGGTCAGGCTTCTCCTCTCCGGTCTGAAGGCCACAGCGAATTATTTCAATCATGCTCTCACTAGAATCCATGGTTACCACACCCTCCTGGCCCATCTTATATGTCTTCCCATTTCCAACTCTGTTAACCAAATATATTTGCTTTGGTGTTTATTTCTACTTCTGAGCCTAGCCCTGAAAAATTCAGATTATCATTCCTTATGTGAATTCTTAAAAAATTATTTCATCCTTCCATGTCAACTTTTTCCTATATTATCAGCCATCTTTTTGTTCTTTAAGGTCTTAGGAAAAGAGATGTCCCTGGATACCTTCCAAGGATAACCTATCTGGATACCATTTATTTCCATTTTCTTTATTATGGTAATGACTCCTTCTGTCTCTTCAACTACACCTCCCCTGACTTTGACCCTGATCCTGTCTTGTTGCATTTTCATTTATTTCTATCCATTCACGATTGAATGTTAGTTTCTGTCACCTTGATTTCTAACTACTCATATGCTTCTTTTTTTAAGAGACAGTCTCACTCTGTTGCCCAGGCTGGAGTGCAGTGATACAATCTTGAGTCACTGCAACCTCTGCCTCTTGGGTTCAAGCAATTCTCATGCCCCAGCCTCCCAAGGTGCTGAAACTATAGGCGCTCCCACACCACGCTGGGCTAATTTTTTGTATTTCTCGTATAGATGGGGTTTTGTCAGGTTAGCCAGGCTGTTCTCCAATGCCTGACCTCAAGTGATCTGCCTGCCACAGCCTCCCAAAGTGCTGGGATTACAAACGTTCCCAGCCTATTCATACCCTTCTGATTTTCAATTCGGATTCACCCTTTACAAACAGCTCTTTCAGGTCACCAACGACCTGTTCATTGACAAATCCAATAGGCTCTCCCCATTTGGCTCAACTTCTCTGCATTATTTATGTCATGGGTAACCACTTTTCCTCCTCTAAACTCTCTCCTCTGTAGTTTTTTTGTCACTACACTGCCTTGGTCTTCCTGTTTCCTCTGACCACTCTGGTCCTGGCTCATCCACTGCTCTCTGCTTTCCAGAGCTAAGCCTTGAATATCCTATGTTTTTAAAGACTGAGAAAGCTTATGTAGTCTACACGTGCTTACAATAATGGAATTCCTTCCACACTAAAAATATGAAATTAGGACTTTTATGATCTTATCCTCCTTTTTTCTGTTGTCTAATACTTGAGTGACTGTCACTAAAAAGTTTAAATGAATGCAGTATTTCGGGACCACAGAAAAATTTCCTATTGCCAACATTAAAACAGGAACAACTAGTTCTAATAATCTTGTAGAGATTGGCTATATGCAGCACAAGTAAGTAAGGTGAACTTATCTCATCAACCTCAATGGAGTACAAAAGGGAGAACCCAGACTTGGTGGATGATACGTATCTATATTACTAACTTGGAGGGTTACTAATTTTGTACTGTGGTTCTCAAAAGTTAGTTTTCCCCCAATTTAGAAAAGAGCTTCTAAATATAAGTTGAATAAGCAATTGGAGGAAGTAACCCCTTTTATTTTCCTGCAACCTGAAAAGGACAAAGGCAATATTCAAAAAATAATAAATTGCCACAATATGTTTGAACAAATTTTTAAAACTTTTTTTCTCCACTAACACTTTGGAAGAGCTATTAAATTTCTGTTTTTCTTGTTATAGGGTACTCTTTTTTTTTTTTTTTTTGAGACAGAGTTTCACTCTGTGGCTCAGGCTGGAGTGCAGAGCTGTGATCTTAGCTCATTGCAACCTCCACCTCCTGGGTTCAAGTGATTCTCCTGCCTCCTCCTCCCAAGTAGCTGCGTGTACTACTGCACCTGGCTACCTTTTGAATTTTTAGTAGAGACGGGGTTTCACCATGTTGGTCAGGCTGGTCTCAAACTCCTAACCTCAGGTGCTCTGCCCCCCTTAGCCTCCCAAAGTGCTGGGATTACAGGCATGAGCCACCATGCCTGGGCCATGTTTTTAAAATATTAGCAAAACATGGCCAGGTACGGTGGCTCATGCCTGTAATCCCAGCACTTTGGGAGGCCAAGGCGGGCAAATTACGAGGCCAGGAGTTCAAGACAACCCTGACCACCAACACGGTGAAACCCTGTCTCTACTAAAAATAAAAAATAAGCCAGGTGTGGTACTGTGCACCTGTAATCCCAGCTACTCAGGAGGCTGAGGCAGGAGACTCTCTTGAACCCAAGAAACAGAGGTTGCAGTGAGCCAAGATCAGGCCACTGCACTCCAGCTTAGGTGACACAGTGAGACTCTTTCTCAAAAAAATAAAATAACAAATAAATAAATTAATTAACAAAATGAAGAAACTATTGAATGAACATTGATACTAAAAATCTAGACATAATGCAACATTCAATTTAGGGTTTGTTCACATTTGAGATCTTTAATTGGTCTGTGGGTGGATCTGATTGCTGTATTTGCACATAATTAGGAATATGTGTATACACAAGATATTTCAGCCTAAATTGAATGATTCTATTGGGTAATGTACAACACTACCTAACCTTTTGCAAACTGTTATTCTCTTCTTTTTCTCTGAATATTGTCATACTAAAAAAGTATGCCTCAGAACTGAGATGCAAGTAAAACTAACATTTTACATAATCTGTGTCCCTGCCTGTCTTTTAATATTAACGTGACTGTGTTTTTCCACCCTTTCTTGTTATATAAGATACTAAACTAGTCAATCAAAAGAATGAGAAGGAAAAAGCATTTTATAAGGATTTCAAATCTTATTTTAAACCACTGATTTAAAAAAAATGTACACAAGTAGTGGTTTACAAATTCAATAAGAACAATGACAGCCATGACAACACATTATATCACATAGTCATATAACATTACCTTCAAGAAACTGGCCATGAGCTTAATCATTTACTATAGCTGTAGTAGATCAAACAGAAATCCAGCCAAAACAAGGCTGTTCAATAATAGCTATAGAAGAAATTAGCCTTTATATCTTTTATCTTGAGAATTTGTCATTTTTTTCTAAATACAAACAGATCAGACACAAACAATTCAACCACAAATGATACTCTTGAAAATCTTTAATCATTCAGTAAATCTAAAGGATAATGCTGGTTTATATGTGAAGTATAATAAACATAAAACAACTAACATCAGAAATGATTTATTAAGTGATTCAAAGAGTTTTTTTCACTTATTGAAATGAGTCTCTGTAGAATAGGATTTCTACTTACTTAATTGCTCATGAATAATTGAAAAATAGCAAACTGGAAGGACCTTGAGCTACTGGAAAGTTTGTGTTTTTCCCTAGTGTTTCTCCATGACCAGTAAGAGTCAATATGACCAAGAATTATTCTCCAGCATCCCTCCTTCAAACGTTCCCTGAAAGTAAAAATAATGCTGGGTGCTTTTGGAATCTCAGAATATAATTCATCTGAGCCTCTAATTTTACGAATAGAGAGAGAAACTGTGCTGGAAAAGGTAAGAGGCTCATCCAAAATCATAACACAGCAGCAGAGCCAGACCCAGCACTGAAGACCTCTCAAAAAGTTCGAGTAACTGTAAGGTCAATTGCAGAAGCACCTTTTGATCCTTGTCACCACTCCCTTTCCACGTGGCCCAGACTGCATAAAAGAAACTAGAATCTTCTTAAACTGTGATTCTCAACAACCTCAAAGTTAGCACTGCACCTCCCTAACATACCACTCATAAAGATAATTAGCCGAAACTCTCACTTGGTCCAAGTGTTAGAGAGAACATCAAAACCACAAAAGAAATTAAACAAAACCTACAAAAACAGTTTTAAGTAAAGTTTTACTTTTTTATGTAAACTGATTTTTAAAATGAGTTTTTTCATCATCATCAAGAGAGAACATCTGACAACAATGAACTCTCTACTTTAAAGTGAAGAATTAACACAACATTACCTTTGAAGGTTTCAAGTTCCTTCCTGCAGAAAAAAAAAGACAAGAAAATGCAAATTTAAAATCTCTTCCCAATGAAAACTGTTCTTTCAACATAATAAAACTTTATATACTTTAAATGCCCACAGGGGTATTTCTGGATCCTCATATATCAATTATACTTTACTGAAATGACCAGTACAATGAGCCTAAAGCAACTATTTTCAGCTATTTCTGCTATTTTCTATTAATGGTTCAAAAAAGTTCCATCAGAATCTAAATAATAATCTAAACAATAAAACAATTGTAAGGACAAAGATAGCATTTTAATGCCAGCTTTGAACCACCTCATATATATAAAAATCAGTTTATAAAAAGCACTTAACAAAATTTTTCCTTGATGGATAAATATTCGATACTGGAGTTTTGAGATGATTAGTTAAAAATCATCCAGAATAGAAGTAGTTATTTTCCCTTTCAACAGCAAAGGAGAAAAGGGGGAAAGCTTTTATCAAAGGATTAAGGTCCACAGCTCATCCTGCCACAAAGGGCCACGCCTCCAGGAATCTTCTGCTTTATTATTTTGTCCATGTTAATTAAGGATGCTAAAACACAAAGCAAGTTGTTTTGAAGTTTTCCCTCACAATTTTGCAGTTACGTATTTTTTTCCTCATTATCAGTACTAATGAGTAATTTTGAGGAAGTAAAGGCTCCTTATTCCACTTAAAATACGAGACATTTATTTTTCTACTTGTGCTCTAGGTTTTATTAAAAATCAAGAGATGTTTTGAATTCTTAAATCAATGTTCTATATACCTAATTACAATACCCCTCATGTTCCAAAATAGCTGAATACACTCAGCGGCTCCTAGGAAGGCCCGGCAAGCTGCCTATCAAAAGGCCAAGTAGATAATCTTCTTGCAAGTGCCAAAGTGAAGGCTCTTAAATCAGATGGTCATCCCACTCCTTTTCTTCCTCACAGTACCTACTTATAATAATTCTCCAGCACCACGGCTCATAACTACAAAAGAATTTTCAATCCCCTTTTTTGAAAAATCTGTGTGGCCAGGCTCAGTGGCTCATGCCTGTAATCCCAGCATTTTGGGAGGCTGAGGGGTGGATCACCTGAGGTCAAGAGTTTGAGACCAGCCTGGCCAACATGGTGAAACCCCATCCCTACTAAAAATACAAAAATTAGGCCAGGTGTGGTGGCTCACACCTGTAATCCCAGCATTTTGTGAGGGCGAGGCGGGCAGATCACGAAGACAAAAGATCAAGACCATCCTCGCCAACATAGTGAAACCTCGTCTCTACTAAAAATACACAAATTAGCTGAGGGTGACGGCATGCACCTGTAGTCCCAGCTACTAGGTAGGCTAAGGCAGGAGAATCATTGAACCTGGGCGGCGGAGGTTGCACTCCAAACTGGTGACAGAGGGACAACAACAACAAAAATTAGCTGGGGGTAGGGGTGGGGTGGGGTGGTGGCGGCAGGTGCTTATAATCCCAGCTACATGAAAGCCTGAGGCAGGAGAATCGCTTGAACCTGGGAGGCAGAGGTTGCAGTGAGCCAAGATTGTGTAACTGCACTCCAGCCTGGGCCAAAGAGCGAGACTCGGTCTTTAAAACAAAACAACCCTGTGTAATTGTTTCCCTTCAGACAATAATCAACTTCAGTCTTAAAAGCTTAGCTAGGTCCAAGCTAAACATGCCTAAAACCTGCTTTATACCCCAATAATAAAAACCAAACACAACAGGCAGGCAACACGTATCATAAGAGAATCTCGAAAAGGTATCTTCAATTTACTTCTTAATGATGTCCTCACATTAGCAATTCCCCAATGTGGGGAAAGTTGATGGAACACTCAGTTCAATATTCTAATGAGTAATTCTTTTTTTTCTATGATTACAATCTTTAGCGAGCTTCTAATTTTCTTTTTAGAACGTGTGACTGTGAGCAGAATTTCTAAAGGGCCCCTTGTTTTAAAAAGCTGAAACTCAGAATAATGATTTCATACACACTGTTCTTCTCCCACTCCCAAATACTAACAACCATAAAAACAAGGAATCCAACATCTACTATTAAATACATTAATAAGCGAGTGTGCAACTGAGGAGGGAGCTTTTCCTGTGGACTCATCCTGCTCACCCTGCAACCATCTGGCTGCTGCTGTGAAGAGGACAAGCAAAGGATCTTCTGGGCATCCTCTTTCACACAGCGTCATGACCGGCAATTCCACAACTGTCGGTGAAATTTCCAAGAAACTTCCCTTCAGAAAGAAAAATCATTCCTGTACCCAGTTCCTAAAACAGATGACTGCTTGAAGTAGTGGTGGTACAGATAATCGGCTTAAAGAATTATCGAACTTTTAAGGAACTGATGAAGTAAAGCAGCAGCACTGAAAGCCTTGAGATTTCACAATTTTTGGGGTATACTCCACCATCTGTAAGAAGTATTCAGCATTTGGAAATATACAAAGAGAAGGCAGGGAGAGGCACATCAGTCACAGGCAGCAGTAACTGCGAGATCACGGAGGCCAAAGATGCAGGTTATATTTAGGAAACATATTTCAGAACAGCAGGATGAATGAAGAGAAAGTAATTCAGATAAAAAGGTAGGGAGTTCTCAGTGCCAGGGTAAAAGATTCGGTTTTATTTTTAGCAGGAGAATAACATGAGCAAAGCTGTATTTTAGGAAGAATGTTCTAGCTGTGATGGATGATATTGGCAAGGGAGAGAATAAAAGCAGTGAGTATTCAGGAAACCATGGGGGACCATTGGGGAAGAGCTAATTAATATTTGGCAAGAGCAACGTAAGTGGCAATGGCAATGAAATAAAGGATTCCAATTTGAAAAGTATCATAAAGAAGACTCAACAGCCCAAGGCCTCTGACTAAATGGGGTAAAAGCAGGAAGGAGACAAGCATTCTAACGGGGACAATTCTAGTCTGGATCACGAGAAGGGAAGACTTTGGAGGGCGATGCATGAGTTCAGTTTGGGAATTGCTCAAACAGGAAGGCTGAAAGCTGCAGACAGGATTCCCATCCCTTTCAGCCTGCTCAAGGATTTAACTCCTATAGATTCCTACTCTATCACTTCACATTCACTCTTGAACCCATTCCAATTTGGCTTCTGGAACACGCACTACACAATCAAGGCCACCAACAATCACCATGTTGACAAATCTAGTGACCAATTCTGTTTTCATCCTAATCCTTCAGCAGCATTTGACTCAACTGGTAGTTTCTTTCTTTCTTTTCTTTAAATTTACTTATTTTACTTTAGGTGCATACTGTATCTGGAATTTCTCCTCATGTTATCCCTCCCCAATCTCCACCAATTGCCCCCAGTGTGTGGATGTTCCTCTCCCTGGGTCCACATGTTTTCATTGTTCAACACCCACCTATGAGTGAGAATATCTGGTGTTTGGCTTTCTGTTCTTGTGTCAGTTTCTTGAAACAGTTCCCTCTAGTGTCCTCCTCAGTTTCTTTTGCTATTGTTTCCATCCCATTCAGACCACAAGGTGCTGGAGTGCTGCAGGCTTGGTGCTGAGCCCTCTTCTCTCCTCAGCTTACATTCGCTCACAAGCCAGTTTCATCCATAGCCTTAAATGCCATCCATATGCTACTGGCTCCATGATCACATTTCTTGTTTTGATCTCTTCTTTGAATTCCAGACTCATATGCAACTGCCCAGATGACAGACAGCTTTATGCAAAAGTGGAGGAGGCTTCTCAAACATTTGCAAGACAGCCTGTTCTTCTCCAGTCTACCTCATCTTAGTTAACAGCATTACACAGCTCCTCAAGTTTTGGCTCATCCATCTCCCTCATTCTCCATCCAAATAATCAATAAATCCTGTCAATTCTATCTCAAAACATATCGTGAATTAATCCATTTCTCTCCATTGTCACTGCCATCAACCTTATATAAATATCCATTTTCTTATACTGAATATAATTTTGGTTGAGTTCAATCATTCAACAAAAATTTATTAAGCCTTAGACACTATGGTAGTGTTAGGAATAGCATTAGGAATAATGCTAGGTTTGGAATAGACATGTTCCATAACCTCAAGGAACTTTAGTGGGAGAGACAGAGAAGGAAAGCAATAATTAGAAATCAACATCATAGATTACACTGCTTTGGTAATGACATGCTGGGGATACTCTAAAAATAAAGTAGAGAGGACAACTCATTCATTTTGGTTTGGTAGAAAAGAATCTCCTGGAGAAGCAAGGACTGAGCTGAAGAGTTTTCAAGGACAGTAAAACTGATGATGATGCGCAACACTTATCAAGAACACAGCAGATACTTTACTCTCAATCATTAAGTCACACTCTCAGTTAACTAGATGAAAAACTATGGGTAAGCAGGAGTTTTAAGTTCTAGTCACTCTCCTTCAAACTCTGTTATTAGCATTTAAAAAGCTAATAATTATTAGTGTAAAACAGCCTTCAAGTTTATCTTCTTCCAAGAAGACTTCATTGACACCCAATCAGGAATCTCTCCTTTATCAAAAATCCCATAGCATTAAACTTGGTCAAGGTTATACATCTCACATCGTGCCTCGTAATGTAGTTCTGTCTGTACAGGTGTCATCTCTAGAGTAACCACACAGTTCCTGAGGTGCAGAAACTGCATTTCATCCATCCTGCATCACACACGTGCCCAGAGTTGGAACCAACAGACACCCAGCATCATGATTACCAAGTACTAAGGCCACAGGATGACTAAGGTCTACTTCTTCAAAGAGGCCCTTGCTGTAACTACATTTTATTTTTGATAAAGTCTGATCAAGTATTATCTTATTTGAAACAACCTGTCACTGTATTTTCTAAAAATTGAGTTTCTTACTTCCATAATAGTATTTTCAGAAGATCAAATAAAAAGAATTGAAATGCCTTGTTTTAAATGTTGCCATATTTCAAAATTTACTCAATTCAGCTAATGCCTTTACAAAATTTAGCATAACCCTGAAACTAAAACATTCAAAGAATAACACTAGACTCAAAAGCTAATAATATTCCAAAGGGTGAAACTGCTA